GGTCCTGTGAGTGAGCGGGAGACAGAGCCAGTTCTCTAGCTTAATGTGTGAGTTGGACCTAGGCTGGGGAGGTGTTTGCTGTTTGGGCTGGATTTTCTAATCGGCCTTGTTCCCCATCTCCTCTCCCCTCCCGTACCGGCCACAGTGCAGGAGTTGAAGGAGAGGGCTCTGGGCCGCTACAGCCTCGTGCGGGTGAGTGTGTGCCAGCCACCAGCATCCCCAGCATCTGTCCTCTTCCTCTACTCTTGCCTAAAATGATCTGCACACTCAGGCCCCTCCCTGCTAGCCCCAGCTCAGAATGTACTTTTTCCAGAAAGTTGTTCTTGATGATCCTAGTTTATAATCCTAAAATCTTAATGTGCTGGGGCTCACTTTATTTCATTTTGTTTTATTTATTTGCGTATCTACTTATTGCCTTCCCAAGGTGTCTCTCTCTTTTATCTAATTTAAGTAACATAGTCCCATGGTCTAAGGTACAAAGAACACAAAAATGTAGAAGGTAAATAGAAAAAATTTCCCATCTCTGTCAAACAGCTGTCCATTCCTTCTGGAAGCATCCAGTGCCACCAGTATCCTGTGTCTCCTTCCAGAGACTTCATATATACACTTAGGCATATGTGAACATTATATACAAAACACATACGTGTGTGTGTATACAAACCCACATGGAAAAAACCCTTTCTGCTTTTTAACACACCATTCTGCACTTTGGTTTCTCTTTTTCTTCACAATCCAGAGGTCTTTTATTTTTTACACCTGTCAAGCCATGAGCTCATAGGGAGTGGGTTCCAGCAGCTCCGGCCCCTTTACATCTGTCCTCACAGAGCATGCCTCTCTGGGTGGGGCGGGCTGGCGCCTCAGTGGAACCCAAGTGCTTTTCCCTTTGACTTCCTTCTTTTTCTCTCATCTTCCTTCACATGCTTCCGAAAGCTAATGTGGCTCTTGGGGTGCTTGATATGCTCGATATGTACATTAATTCTCTTTGCAAGAATCTTGCTCTTTACTTGTTTGTTTACAGCAATGCCAACAGCGTGCTGGGTAACACTGTAGACTTCCAGATTTGCTGTGGTAACATTTGTGGGCCATTCCTTTTGAACAGTGCCCATTCCCTCGATGTCTACTATTATCACCTTTCTTGTAGAATCGCATGTATGTGCCCAAAGGAAGAACTCTGTGTTTTCTGAAAGGTCTAGAAAACATATAGTGGTGCCTATCCTCTTTCCCTTTGTGTTGATCATTTTGGCAATTGACTGCAAGATGGCAGTTCTGGCCAAACTGGTGTACTTTGCTTTTTCATGTAATTATGTATCTCAGAAATCGTTCTGTGTATGCAGTTTCCTTTTGGGAAAAGTGACTTGCCTGGGGCCCCATGTGAGGTAGAGGCTGGCCCAGGCCTCACCTGTCCTCATCCTGTGGTCTGTAGTCAGCAGTGTGTGTGTGGCACCAAGGTCGGGCTCTCCTCTCTGAGACCACGTCCAGCACAGTGTGCCTTCTGCCTCCCCCAGGGCCAGGGCCCAGAGAGACTGGCGTCTGGCTCGGACGACTTCACCTTATTCCTGTGGTCCCCAGCCGAGGACAAGAAGCCCCATGCACGGATGACAGGACACCAGGCGCTCATCAACCAGGTGCTCTTCTCCCCTGACTCCCGCATCATCGCCAGCGCCTCCTTTGACAAGTCCATCAAGCTGTGGGATGGCCGGACGGGCAAGTGAGTGGGGGTGTGTGCGCGGGGGGCACGGATCCTCTGGAAGGAGCTGGGCTCTGTCACATAGTAGTTGCGTGGCCTTGGCTAGTATTTGGATTTTTCAAGCCTCTGTTTCCTCTGTGTGACATGCAGATCCCCTACATCTCAGCATTGATATAAGGGTTAAACGAGATGGTATATTGAGGACCAGCACTAAGTAGGCACTGAAAATGCTAGTTCATTTCCTTTTGAAGGATTCCTTTTGAACAGTGCCCATTCCCTCGATGTCTACTATTATCACCTTTCTTGTAGAATCGCATGTATGTGCCCAAAGGAAGAACTCTGTGTTTTCTGAAAGGTCTAGAAAACATATAGTGGTGCCTATCCTCTTTCCCTTTGTGTTGATCATTTTGGCAATTGACTGCAAGATGGCAGTTCTGGCCAAACTGGTGTACTTTGCTTTTTCATGTAATTATGTATCTCAGAAATCGTTCTGTGTATGCAGTTTCCTTTTGGGAAAAGTGACTTGCCTGGGGCCCCATGTGAGGTAGAGGCTGGCCCAGGCCTCACCTGTCCTCATCCTGTGGTCTGTAGTCAGCAGTGTGTGTGTGGCACCAAGGTCGGGCTCTCCTCTCTGAGACCACGTCCAGCACAGTGTGCCCTCTGCCTCCCCCAGGGCCAGGGCCCAGAGAGACTGGCGTCTGGCTCGGACGACTTCACCTTATTCCTGTGGTCCCCAGCCGAGGACAAGAAGCCCCATGCACGGATGACAGGACACCAGGCGCTCATCAACCAGGTGCTCTTCTCCCCTGACTCCCGCATCATCGCCAGCGCCTCCTTTGACAAGTCCATCAAGCTGTGGGATGGCCGGACGGGCAAGTGAGTGGGGGTGTGTGCGCGGGGGGCACGGATCCTCTGGAAGGAGCTGGGCTCTGTCACATAGTAGTTGCGTGGCCTTGGCTAGTATTTGGATTTTTCAAGCCTCTGTTTCCTCTGTGTGACATGCAGATCCCCTACATCTCAGCATTGATATAAGGGTTAAACGAGATGGTATATTGAGGACCAGCACTAAGTAGGCACTGAAAATGCTAGTTCATTTCCTTTTGAAGGAGAGAAACAATCTCAAAGCTGGCCAAGGGCCAGAGAAGTGGGTTTGGAATAGAGTTGTTGTCTGGCCCTCCCCATGGTGTGGTCCACAGACCAGTGGCAGCCACATCACCTGAGAGCTTGATGGAAATGTGGAACCTTGAGCTCCCACCCCAAACCTTGTGAATCAGAATCTGCATTTTAAGTCAGCAGATACTCTGATGGCCTTTAAAATCTGAGAAGCAGTGGTGTAGTGGGGCACAATGCCCTTGGGGTTAATTAGATTTTCTTCTCTCGCCAAGGAAAACCCTTGTTGGGGCTGAAAGGGCGCATTTGAGTCAGTCACTGTGTACTTATACACAGTGGCCCTTTGAATAGGTTATCCCCTTCCTTTTTAAGATGAGAGCGTCTCAGAGAGGCTTGATGACATGTCCCCGTGGACACAGCTAGTCTGTATTGACCTGAAAGTTCCAGAGGGCCTGTCATGCTCTTACTCCATGCTGCCTGTCAGCAAGCAGCTGTTACATTGAGGGCATGTTAGGTCATGGGCCAAGCAGGTGGCTGCAGTGGAGTCTAAGGCATGCAGAGCCCTACAGGTATGGAGGCCTGGTGAGAGGCCAGGAAGCAACTTATTTGGAGTTTTTCAAAATCTTAATGATGGGTAATGATTAAACTGGTCTGGGGAGGGGGCCAGGCAGTGAGATATTGTAAAAGTTCCCAGGTAATTCTAATGTACAGCCAAGGTTTAAAGCCACTGCTGTGGACATAGAGGACCTTTCAGACATGTTTGGAGATCTCGTATCCATCGTCATCTTCCCTTGGCCCAGGTACCTGGCTTCCCTGCGTGGCCATGTGGCTGCCGTGTACCAGATCGCGTGGTCAGCCGACAGCCGGCTCCTGGTCACTGGCAGCAGTGACAGCACCTTGAAGGTGTGGGATGTGAAGGCCCAGAAGCTGGCCATAGACTTGCCAGGCCACGCGGATGAGGTACAGCCGACCCTTGTGAGCAAGAAGCGGGAGTGGAATTGAAGCCTGGCTTTCCTACCCTCAGCCTCCTCACTGCCCTACCCTTCCACCCCATGCCCTCCATTTAGGTCTATGCTGTCGACTGGAGCCCAGACGGCCAGAGAGTGGCAAGTGGTGGGAAAGACAAATGTCTCCGGATGTGAGTTTGAGAGAGGTGGTGGTCAGTGTTCTGGGCTCTCCCACCCTTCAGACGGCCACTCTGTGACCTTCCCTTCTGGGACAGGATTCTAAGGGCTCTCTGGGTGCCCAGGTGGTGCATGGAGCTAGGTTCTCAGTAGGCAGGCAGGAGGGATATAGGAGACCCCCAGAAGGCGAGTCCAGGGGCTTTCTAGCATGAGGCAGTAGTTCTTGGAGCACTGGATTTTGGAGTCCTAAGACCTCCTCCAAATCCTGGTTCTGACTCTGACTCTGCAGTCTTGAAGTATTTGGCTCACCTGTCTCCTAGGTGTTACCAGACTCAGTAGACAGGAGAATCCAAGATAGGCAGTGAACACACTTTGGAACCTGAGGCATTGTATACTTGTATTGTCACTGTTTGTCATTGTACTACCTTGATGGGCATCCTAGGGTCAGACCCTGGGATGTGGTCCTGGCTGGGGCAGGTGATGGGTGCTTAGCCTGACCTTGGGTTGCTAGAGCAGAGATGGTAGCTCTTGGTGACTGAGGGTGAATCACAAGCTCCCCCGCCCTTCCTGCTGTGGGCTCCTGGGATTATATGGCAGCCTCCCTTTCCTGATGTAAATTCCCCATCCGGTTCCCTCCCCTTCTGCACAGATGGAGGAGATGAGAAATCCCCAGTTCTCTGTAACTCCCTTCTGGATTCCGCCTCTGCCAGCGGCCTTCCCTGACAGAAACCAAAGGCCAGGGTGTGACCCTGAGAACAAGCATGGCCTGCTCTCCTTGGGCAGACCCCTTGGACAGCACCGAAGGTCAAAGGGCATGGGAGATTGTCCCTGAGCTCACCCCTTGGCCGTCACTCTGTACTTTGGTGGCCCAGCATGGGTGGTGGGAGGCCAGGCAGACACTGGACTCCGGCTGCCGCCCCTGCTTTCCTAAATGCCATCTCCGTCCAGGGTCAGATTCTGTGACCAAATAAATGACTTATTTTGTGTGTGTGCAGATTATAATTCTTTACGCTAGAATCCCAGGGTTCAACCAAAGACTGCTAAGTCAGTGAGGACCTTGGGCTGCAGCTGAAGACAGGTGAGGGGCTTCCTGGGATGCTCCCCCTTAGTAGGGAAATCGGTATTCCAGGTCTTCCAGCCTCCACATCTCCTCCAGCCCGATGGACACAGTTCTCTGCTGGGGTTCCTTGCGCCGTACTGTGATCTGGATGGGGTTGTTCTCGGGGAAGCTCTTCAAGTCAGTGGCCACGGTTGCAAACTGAAACAAAACAAAACCCCTCAGAATTCCTTCTTAGGCCTGACCCTGGCTCACCTTTGTCTCTGCCACCCCTTGTTAGTCTGGTAAATGGGATCTTAACCTTACCAACCTGTGTTGACACCAGAAACAGGTACAGAGGCCCGATTCAAACCCGCGCCTCTCCAGTTCTGTGAGGTTTCTAGCCTCAGGGCCGTTTGCCCTTGGGCTGCTTCCCCCGAGCCCCTGCCCACTCCACAACCTGTTCCCTTTTCTGTCCCACTTTAGCCTCTCCTCTGTTTCCCTCAATGCTCTTGAGTTCCTTGCCCACCCACAGTCATTGGTACTAAGGTGAAGAACCCCAAAGGCCAATAACTTTGGAATATGAACACTACAGAGAAGAAGACCAAGTATGTTAGTAACCCTTAAACCTCCCAGAAGAAAGCAGTGTGGAATAGATGCTCATTTGCCCAGGCAGAAGGGAAGCCAGCAGGGACTATAGGGGTTCCCAGCCTCCAAAGCCCCTGGTTCAGACTTCTCTCCCCGACCCCTAGGGCTCCTCTTCTCCCAGGGCTCACTCTGTAGGGCTTGCACCACTTCCCCACCCCAGCTGTGTTGGCTGCACGGACAGTGACGCAGTAACTTGTGTCAGCCTTCAGCTCCATCAGCTTGACAGTGGTGCCCAAAATCTCGTTGAAGACCCAGCGGTGATTTTTTGCTTTGGGCAGCTTGTCTCTTGTCTTGTCTGCCTCGTGCAACAGGAGCTGGTAGACGCTGACCTGCTGCTTGGTGAAGGCATAGGTCCAGGAAATCTAAAGGAAGAGAGCCCCCAGGCTTCCTCAGCCCTGGTCTGACCTGTCCTCCCCTCATTCCCCGCTGACTCCCGTGGGTCAGAATGCCCCCTCCCGCCCCCTGCCCTGGAGGGGTGGAGCTGAGGCCTGGCTGGTGGGAGGTGTAAAGCCTTCTAGTGCTAGATGTGGGACCACCAGCCTGTGCATATGCTACTCTGCCTGGGCAGCCCCACCCACCTCAGAGTATGCCTTTGCTCCACAGTCATTTGAGTGGGACCTTAAGAGATCATCTTGTCCTCCTTGCTCATTGCCGATGGGGTTACAGGTTCAGACAGAACAAGTGGCTGGCTCATGGTCACACAGCAATTAAGTGACAGAGCCAAAGTGCAAACCAGTAGCTCCAGAGCCTATACACTTTGTACACCACTGGTTGCCAGGACTGGCTGGGGTCTCCAGGGGTGTTTATAACAATAGATCCCCGGCCCCACTGTCTCCTCTCCGATCTCCCATTTCCATTTTCTCCTCCATCTGGACCAGTGCTTCTCTGGTTTGTATTGGAATACCCTGGAGGACGTGTGAAACACGTCCCCTCTCCACAGTTTCTGATTCATTAGCGGGAAGGTGGAAGGGAGGGAAAGAGAATTTACATTTTTAACAAGCTGCCATATGCTAATGCTGCTGGTGGTCTGGGAACCACGCTTTGAGAAACGCTCCTCTAGGCCAGCCAACAACGGGGCTTCCAGATTCCTCTTCCTAAAATACAACTCAGACTGCATCCACTGCCTGATATTTGCAAAGAGCTGTTCCCTGTTGTTGACAGAAAAATCTATAAAGTGGCCTAACATTGGAGGACCTCTGGAAGATGACCCAGACTGACTAACTTCCCCCTCTGTTGCCCTTCATGTACCCTAAGAGGGTGCTACTCAGCATGTGGTCCATGGGCTACTGCGCCGCCTGGGTATTTGGGTAAATTCTCAGGCCCTACCCCTGACCTGAATCAGAACCTCTAGGGATGAGTCCCAGGACTCTCATTTTCAAAAAGATTATCAGATCTGCAGGCATGTGAAAGTGAGAGGCCCTGGATTAGGACCTGGGTGTTTCCCCCACATGTTTCCACCTGTGAGCCTTTACTCATATCAGCCCTTCCATGAAATGCCTTTTTCCCATTACTAGATGTTTAGATCCTACCTGTGTCCCAGCCAAATGTTACCAAGGCCACCAAGCTTCTTTCTGCACCTGAGAGTAATGTTTCTTTCCCTCTGAATACCTGGTGGGACTTGGTCTGAACTCTTACTAAAGCCTTGAGCCCTTTCAGGCTTGTACTGGGGTTCTTTGCAGACATGCCCTCTTTCCTAACCCATGCACTTGAGGTCAGGATGCAGGTGGTAGGTAGGCTTCTTCATACTCCCCCTGGAGCTCAGCTCAGGGCCTGGCATGTTGGGGGTGGCCCCTAAGCCTTTGCTGAATGCATGAGGCAGGAAACGCACCACAGCTGTGGAATTACTGACTGTGTGTTCATAGATGAAGGGGGCCTCTGGCAATTCCATGGTCACAGAGGACTCTGAGGGTGTTGAGGAGGTGTCTGCGTCCACATCAGGGTTGTCAAGGTCCAGCAGGCCGCCAGGAGCAATTTGGGGCTTGGATTGCTGGGGGTGGACCTCCAGGTCCCTCTTTCCTGTGTTCTCAGCCACTGAGGAGATGCTGAGTTTGTCCAGCTCGCCTTCCAGCATCCCTGCAAAGAAGCTGCTGCTGGGTTGGGTCACGACCAATTTGATGGGATTCGACAAAGTGAATGAGCTGGGGGCGATGCTGGTGTCGTCAGAGCTGCATTCGGAATCCTCCGTTGGCATCGGCTTCCTGGAGTGGGAGGGGAGACAGGTGAGCTAGATGAAGGAGGCCATCCCAGCCCATGCAGCCTGGAAGCTTCCAGAGGACAGTCCTTGGCCTGACCAGCATCCCCAGCTGCTTCTGAATAGCTCAGAACATCCTATTGCTCAGTAGCAGTTCATCAGACCTACCAGGGCACTTACTAATGAAACATGCAGATCCGTGGTCCGGTCCCCTGAGCTGGGATGAGACTGGAGAAGCTGCTACAGTATCTTTAATGAGCTACTCAGATGCCTCATGCAAGTGTTCTGGGACCCGCAATTTGAGAAACACTGTTACAACTCTTTTAAGTCCTAGTCTAAAGTGAAGTGCAAACACCCCTGGAAATGACCATAACAATCTACTGGGATACAGGAAAGTATCTAAAAGTATCTAAAATAATAAATGAAGCTTTATTAAGACTTATTTACAATTTAATGTTTAATGATTACCAATTTTTTAAATGATAAATTCTTATTTATTGAAGATATCCAATTAAGATAATAGAGAGGTAATTATCAGGTAAGCATATATGGCACATGATTAAGTTCCAGTAATTCATATTTCTCAATTATACTTTCTGCTAAATCCAGAGCATTAAATTCATGTAGCAGTGGTAGAAAGCATTACTTTTTTTTTTTAATGTCCACCCTCTTGATAAAGCAATTTTCCAATCAGGAACATTTAGTAGTCTTCTTCTACCATTTGAGTATATAATACTCTTGCTAAGAAATCAATCTAGGTCTAGGATATTCAGACTAATTATTTGTAATATATAAATGTGGAATTGCTGACTGTGTTCATAGATGAAGGGGGCCTCTGGCAATTCCATGGTCACAGAGGACTCCGAGGGTGATGAGGAGGTGTCTGCGTCCACATCAGGGTTGTCAAGGTCCAGCAGGCCTTGTGGAATTGCCAAGGTCACCAGAGTAGTTTCATGGGTGTGTGACCTGTGCAGCCCCACACAGCCCCACACATAGAAGGGCTCTGTGCTTATCTTCTATGGTAAATAAATCCAGTGGTTGTACTTGGCTTTTGCTTATCTTTGTGTTGAAATTTTCCATTTTTTTATGACTTGTCCCAAGCACAAAATCCTGAGCAATGGGATACCAGGTAATGAAACAACATTGTATTAGTAGTCTGCTTTGCACTGTTCAGGAGGCAATGGATTGATCTGATCGTTCTTTTTTCTCTCCTGTAGTGTCATTACATATTTCATCAGATAAATTAGCTGTAGTAGGTGTAGTCTGGGGAGTCACAATGTGTCCAAACCCTTGGTAGTGATCCATGGGTGACAGTGACACAGAAGAGGAACAGAGATTGCATCTTATGATGATGATAGCAAGCTTGTATGTTCACTTTGATTTTTATCTCAGGAAAAAATTTTTTCCTAGGAGTCCCATGACAGTCCTTTCCAACATGTCTTACTTGTTCAGAAATATCATCCCTAATATCTGAAGCATCCCACATGGCAAGAAAGGAATCAAAGCATGAACCCTCTTCTGCTTCTTGGACATACGGTTTAGATGAGAAGGTGTAGTGATGAGCAATAGCAGCAAGGAACATCTCAATACAAATAATGAAGTCCTGGAGTCCTGTAGCCACAGCTTCTACAGTTTGCCATTCCCATGTATGCTTTTCAGAAATAACGCCAACTTTTACCAACAAAGTAGTAACTACTGCTTTCCAAAAAGAAACAAAAACCACCAACTTTACACAAATTTGCCAACTGGTTAGATTGGACTCAGTTCTTCTTTCAGGATTTTATAAAACAGCAGAAGACAGTACATGGCAAATAACTGTGACATATTATTATAACCGAGTATATCCAAGCATTTGAAAAGCTAAAGTTTCCTTCATCATATATATCAAGCAGCAATGGTGGTGAATGGTCTAAAGCTGTGTACTGCAATACACCCAGTTTGCACCTGAAGAGCAATACTTCTCCCGTAGTCCATGGTGGACAGCAACATAAAGGGGGGGAAATGTTTCTGCTCATCTTTGGCTTCAAGGATTAATACCAGATTTGGCTACCAGTTAGATAATTGGTAAGAAATCCCATAAAGTTGTAAATGACATAAGCTTTATAACATTCTCTGCAGGTATCCACATATATTGCAATGCTAGGATATTTCAAAGCTATCCAGCTATCTAAACTATATGGGTACCATCCAAAGAATCCTTATTACTGGTTTCTGTAGTTCAGGTTGTGTATAATGCACTAAATGTTGCAGTATCCCCCAGGGTGATATAGGTATGGTCAACGGCAAAAAGATAACAGCAATAAACAAGCCTTGGTGTGGATTCCAACCTCCAGTTTCTGTAATTCCCACACACATAGGGGAACAGCAACCACTATGGACACCAGGTAGATGACCACCGCTAAAGGTCAAATCCACTGTCTCCAGTTCCTCCAGGTACAAGTGCAAGGCATGTTTCCACATAAATCAGCTCCAGGTAGCAAGGGAAAAGAGCTCAGAGGAGACTGGGGATCGCCCAGAGCTCTGCCCGCACCATAGCCCTGAGAGTGGCGCCGACCAGGACTGGCCTCTAAGGACCCCTCACAGTCCGGTTCTGCCCTGATGCTACCTGCCCATGGGCGGTTGAGCTGGGAGCCCGCGCTCTTTTTCTCCTGGGCGTCTCTTCACCTGATTTTACCAAAAGCCTGGAGGTGAGGAATCAAACCCACCAGCCCGCTGGATTTCCTAACGATTACCAATTTATACAGATTCTATAACATTTAACTATATAGCATGTAAAATTAACAGTAATATAAAATATAAATATGTATATTTGGGGTGACTGCTCAAAACTCTTTCCTTCCATTCTAATTTTGTTAAATTATAAAAATTTTAGACATACACAAAGATACCAATATATTAATGGGGATGTAATGTACAGCATGGTGACTAGTTTATAATACTGTATGTGTATTTGACAGCTATTAAAAGAGTAGATCCTAAAAGTTCTATGACAAAAAACTTGTAACTGTGTGGTGATGGATCTTAACGTAATGCAGTATATACACATATCAAATAATTATGGTGCATATCTTAAACTAATGTAATGCTGTATGTACATCAGTTATATCTCAAAAATGGAAAAAAATAAAATGAACATATGATAAAGTGAGGAAAAACTATTTTATGCTTCCATTTAGCCACCATCCAGTTTCAGAACTAAAGCCTCATCAGTACAAACTAAAACTCCCTGCACACTTCTCTCCCCCGCCTCACTCCTCATCCTCCCAGAGATAACCAGTACAGTACATTTTAACATTTGTTTATTATTACATGTATGTTGTTACAGATTTGTTATATATGTATGTTCTCCCCAAGCAACATCTACTTTGCATATTTAAAATTTTTATATAAATAAATGGTATTCAATACCTGTCAGCAGCTTGCTTTTTCATTAACATGTTTTCTAGATTCATCTGTATTGATACATAGGAGCTCGGGTTCAGCTATTTTAACTGTTGTGTGGTTTTACATTATGTAGATATTTGGATTGTTAGCAATCCTTGGCTATTACAGAGAAAAACTTAGTGCATGTTTCTCCACTATTTAAAATTTTTTTACCGATGAAGTGCAGAATCCAAAAAGTTTGGTTTTCAAATCTTTTTTTAACTTGACCCAAAGAAAGAAATACATATTCCATGGCCACCTAGTATACTCATACATACACATAAAACTAAAACATGTTTCACAAACCAGTGATTTATGTGTGATGTGCTCTGGAATTTTCTCTTACTTTGTTTTTATAATACTGGTCCTTGCTAACTAGAATGAGTTCCTGACCCATTCATAGGTTACTACCTGCAGTCTGAAGAGCAGTGTTCTAGAAAGAGTAATCACAGAGCCTTTGGGGGTTAAACACCTTAACAAGGTCGCATGATGAGTTGTGACAGAGCTGGAAGTAGAACCCGGACCTCCGGGGCCCTATGCCTTCCCCATGCTATGCAGCTCCCATCTCCCCTGGCTGCTGCGGACATGTTCAGTAACAGACACCCCTGGATCCCTCACTCAAGGCCACCTCTGGCCTCATGGTTGATTAATGGACAAAATTTTTTCCTCCATGAGCGCTGGTCCCCCATCAACCTCCTGAGAATTCCTCATCAGCACAAACATCCTATGCCAGCCTTAGTGGATATTTGGAATAGTTAATTCCCCCACCAAGGTCCTTTGTAGGCTGAAGAGTCTGAGTATTGATGTCATTTATATGTCATATTGTCCTGATGTATCAGATTTGCTATAGACACCGGTGTTGAAGTGGGCATGGAAGGCAGGTAGACAATGGGCTACGTGCTGGACAAAAACTTTCTGGTCTTCATAACAGCCCTGTTGGATGGGTGTTAGCCCCATGTAAATGACTGGGAGTCCCTGATCTTAACTTGTCTATGGCCATATGTCTAAGTGGTATAACTTGGATTTGGACTTGGACTCCTAACCCAAGACTTTCCAAACATATCACGAAGTTGCCTATAAGCATCTATCCCTGTAGCAATGCTTACTTATAGGTCCCTTAAGGAATGGACGCCATATCCCTTTTAAATAATCAGGACCAGCTACATTGTTCATGGGGCCTCTTCAAAAATTATTAAGCATTTCAAGACAGTGATAGCAGAACATTAAGCACAGAGCCCTTCTATGTGTGGGGCTGCACAGGTCACACACCCATGAAACTATTCTGCAGGTAATTCCCTCAGCCTACATCAACCTGTATCATCACCCCTTTGCTGGCTAACTCCTTCCCTTCCCAAGAGAGTCGGCTCAGATACCACCTCCTCCAAGAAGTCTCCCTTAACTGTACTCCCTCCCAAGCTATACTAAGCCCCTTCTGGTTCCTCAAGGTGTCCTGTCACAGCACAGACCATGCCGTACTCTCGATTCTTATCAGACAGCCCCTGCAACACCCTCCCCCCCCCCCAGGGGGCTCCTTGAAGGCAGGGGCTGTGCTTTCCAACCCTGCATTCCTAGAACTTAACACTGGGTCAGACATCTTGCAAGGAGCTGTGTTCAGAGCTGTAGAATGAAGAGAAGGGAGCCCAGTATCACTGAGGAGGAAAAGGAACAGTAAACCTTCAGACCTGAAGGCAGGCAGTTGGGGGAGCACAATCAGGCAGGCAAAGGCACCAAAAGGGGGGATTGAGGAAGAGGAGCCACAGGGGAGTGGAACGGGGCAGGGGTGTGTGTGGGGAGTAACTGGATGGGGAACACGGCCAAAAATTCTCTGGCTAATCCCAGAAGGCCTCCTGAGAGGGAGGCCTACATGCCTCGCAGAACTGATTCAGGGTCAGGAATTGGCACAGCGTGCATGGGTGTTGTTCCCTGGGACTCCAGGGTTCTGTCTGGGACAGGTCAAGGAAGCACGGCCTCTTCAAGCCCCTCTCCCCACCCGCAGCTCCAGCCTTACAAAGAAGGAAAGGCCTGGACTGTCTTACAGTAGGTCGATGGTATCTTCCTCCAGGAAGTTAACCAAACTGCCCCTTGAAGAAAGTGGGAGTCCTTTGGTAGTGACAGTCCTGTTCATAGACTTGGGGTTGGGAAAGGGCTTCAACATTTGATTGAGTGCATTCAAAACGTGGAGGGTTTCCTTCTTCAGCATGGCCTCCTCCCCGTCTCCCACTTTACAGAGTGCCTCTGACGCCATCTGGTTAAGTTTGGGACCACAGCCGTTACCATGCAGGAGAGCCAAGCTGACAGGAAGTAGAGAGAAACTGGGGACTAGGGGCAGGGGACCCACCCTTAGTTTGGGTGGGATTGGTATGCAATGAACTGACTTCATAATCATCACAGAGTAACAATCAGGGGCCAGCCTCCTCCTTGGTCTGGGGCTGCTGCTGCTCAGGGCCCCTGTCAGGAGTGGGGTAGAGCCAAGGAACAGGACACATCACCCCTGGGCCACTCCCAGATTGAATGCTCTGTGGTTACAGCAGCTCTGCCCTTCTCTGAAGGTCTCAAATGCTTACACCTGTTCTCTTCAGAGCTGCCCCGGGAAGGATAAAGATGGTAAGAGAAAGGTACCTGCACATGGAGGGAGGTGCCTGGGGCCCTGTGAGTGGGAGACTTATCTATAGAATGCTGAGGGTCTATATCCAGAAATTCCACGCAGCAAACCCATTACGTCCAGTCGTGTAGGCACAGGGAAAGCCCAGATGGTCCGTGGGGTTCCCAACTCACATGCACCCAGGTTTTACTGCTAGAATTCTAAATGTGGTACACCAGCACCCCATCTGTCTTCAGGTGTGGAGTGCTGCGGAGGGACACAGAAATGGGTCAGACATTGTTTCTGCTCTCAAGGAAACCACTTTGCAGGAGGAAAACATTCACACAACTTGCAGGATGGGAAGAGAAACTGTTAAAACAGCACTGGCTTTGCACTTATATGTGGACTTGTCCACTCTAAGTCCAGCTCTGCACTTACAGGCTGTGTGACATTCCACAAATGACTTCCTCTCACTGAGTCTCAGTTTTCTCGTCTGTGAAACAGGAATAAAAATAGCACCTATCTCATTAGATTGTGAGGAGACAACTCTATAAGGTTGTTTAACTTCTTCCAGAGCATGAGGCAAAGCAAAAGACATTTTAAAATACAAATCATATTTTTTTGTGTTCTATGTAGTCAGGTTTTCATTAAAATTTTTTTTCTTGGTAAAATAGGCAGATGTCCCCCTGTGTTCTGCTGCTGCTTAGCACCCATCATACAATCTAGTCATCTGACTTGATTCCAGTTCACTTCCTTCCCCTCACTAACACGTAGGGCTATGGGCATAGGGATGGCCGGTCTTGAACTTTCTGGCCCAGTCCCAGGACAGGCTGTGCGTGTTCGGGGAAGAGAGTGGAGGTGCATGCGGGCGCGGGGCGGCGTGGGGCGTGAGGCCGAGTGAGCCCGCGGAGCGCGGGGTTCTGCCGACAGGGCCCGGAGGCCGCGCTGCGGGACCGGCTCCTGCCCACCCCCACCTCTGTCCCAAGCGCCGGGTCTCAGGAGGCCGCGGTTGCGCCGTACGCGGCCAGCGGGTGGCGCTGCAGGCCAGTCCCTGGAACCTGGAAGCCGGAAGCCGCGGCGCGGCCCGAGGGGGCGGGCCCGGGGCGCAGGACACCCAGCGTGACCCGCCCCCAAGCGCCACCGCCTCTCCCGCTGCCTCCAGGAAGGAGGGGGCCCCGCGGATGCCCACGGGGCGAGCAGCCCAGATGCTGGCGCGGCCCTGGGCCCCCAGGGAACATGGGCGTGCTCAGGGCTGGACTGTGCCCGGGCCTTACCCCGGACACGGTCCAGCTTCTGAAGACCCGCGGACTCAGAACAGGTGACCGCGTGTGCGCGCCACCCAGCTGGGCACGCGGCGGAGGCCGGCCTCTCTGCCCTGGCACGCCCGCGAGAGGGGCCATTCCCCTCCCTCCTGTGCCCCACACCATTCTGGAGAGGCTCGGGGAGGTGGGAGTGGGGCCGCCCAGGCCCCAGGAACCCCTAATGTGCTCCAGGCACCACCAAGGCCCTGAGGCTGTTATGTCAAGAAGGCCTCCTGAAACTAACATTTTCCAGATGAGAAAAGCTATCTCCCCATTTTCCAGATGTGAAAAGGCCAAGTATGGGAAGCCCCGGGCCTCCCTTCCTGCCAATCAACCACGTGTTTTGTTTTCAGTGGTGGACCTGGTTTCTGCAGACCTGGAGGAGGTAGCCCAGAAATGTGGTTTGTCTTACAAGGTAAAGCTGACAATCTCCATGCTCCAAACCTGGGTGTCTCCGAAGACCCATCCCTGAGCAAAGGGTTCCCAGGACGATTGGAGGGGACGGTGGGACCCTGGGATGCCGCTTCTCTTGGCCCCTCGTTGCCGAGGCTCTGGGCTGTTTGTGCTGAAGTGCCCTGGGCCCCATCCTGATTTGCCTCTGCCCTGTCCCCAGGCTCTGGTTGCCCTGAGGCGGGTGCTGCTGGCCCAGTTCTCGGCTTTCCCCTTCAATGGCGCTGATCTCTATGAGGAACTGAAGACCTCCACTGCCATCTTGTCCACAGGCCTTGGAAGGTTTGTTTGTGTGCTTGGGGCAGAAGGTGTGCTGGGCTTTCGATTCTTGAGTCTAGAAAGGCTGGGTTTTTCCAGCAGTGGTGAGGGCGGCATGGATGGACGGTCAGGACTAAGGACTTTGCTTCCGTTATAACAGTTTCTCTACCCAGCACTGCTAGCATATTGGGAGTGTAATTGTTTGGTGTGTGTGGGGTTGGGGCGGAGTGGGGTAGGGGAGTGGCTGCATCCTATCTGCTAAAAGCCAGGAGCCCCTCCCTGCTCCCCATGCCATGATAATCCAGAATGTCTCCAGACATTTCCAAATGGCCCCCAGGGGGCAAAATGGCCCCTGGTTGAGAACCACTATCTTGTAACTATATCAGCATATCAGAGCAACTCTTCTCTGGCTCTCCCATTTCATTTAAGATAGGGCAAGAGAGACCACGGCAGGTCTAATATTTATTGAGTGCCTACTATGTGCCAGTCATTGATTATAGGTTATGAAATCTCTTCAGTGACCCGGTGAGTTAGTGATTATGAACCTGACTTCAGTTGAGCCTAGGAGTGGGGCAGAGGTGGGACTCAAGCCCCTGGTACTTGACCAGAAACTTGGCTCATTCCACCCCCACCCCCGCCTCCCCCCTCTCCCCGCACACCACAGGAGGGACAAGAGAGCTTCTGTAAAGGAGGAGTTTTCGTTCTGCTGTGTTTGGAGAGGGAAGGAGTTGGAAGATAACAGTCAGCTTCTGGCTAAGGGAGTCTGACCTCTTTTCTGCCCTGTTCAGAATCTGATGACGAACTTGGCCACCACAAAGGTCTTTGGACTGTTTGGCCCTTGCTGCTTCCATAACGTGTTTTCTTGGCGAAGTTCCTGTGGCCTGGTTCTTGTTCCCCCTGGCTGGGGGACCAGGTGTGTTATCATCAAACACCTACTGCTCACTCACTGGGTGCTCAGTGCGAGGTTTGTCCTGAATGCCAGCCGGGTGCCAGACAGAAGCAGATGACATGTGAAGGAGGGGGGGCAAGGCTCCTGCATGTAAGCAGTGTGGGGTCTAGTGGGCAAAGATGAGCAGGTGCACCCAAGAGAGGTGTAAGCATGGGTGGAGGCAGCGTAAGGAGGGAGTGATTAACAGGAAGCAGACTTAGCCTTTGGGCTCAGGGACGGTGTAAAACCTACAGAGGCAGAGGAAGCATTTAGGGAGCAGTGAAGTGATGAACCAGCAGGATTGCAGCGGCAGTGGGTCACTGCACGGGAGACCAGGGTGGTTCAGGAAAGCTCCCAAAAGGGGGCAGGCCTTGGGCATTGAGGCACAGATGGGCTTACCAAGAACCAGGCACGGGGCATGAAATTCATGGGACATTATTTCGTTTGTTCTTCACAACCACCAGTGAATGCATTATGATTAAAATTACTTCTATAGATGAGGAAACTGAGGCTCAGTCTAAGTGAGCCTAGCTAGTGAGTGGCAGACCAGGCGCTTGAGGTCAAGCCTGTCACACTCCTAAGTCTAAGATCTAACTAGCTCATCTGCCCTTTTGCCTCCCTCCAGGTGGGAGGCTGCATTGTGAAAGCAGAGGCGTAGGCAGTGGGGTAGAAGTGTGCAGGGTGAATGGGACCAGGGAAGCTTGCGAGAGGAAGGCCATGCGGGGGTCTGATCTAGAGCAGGTGACAGTGGGAGAAGTGCTGAAGAAGAGACATGGCAAGCCTTCCACCAGATGGGACAGAGGCATGAAGGATCAAAGATGACTTGCTAGGTTTCTAGCCTTGTTCAGAGTGCTCTGTGGACAATTAATGGATGTAACTTTAAAAAGGCAACAGAGTTCTGGAGTCAAAAATTTGGGACATGCTTCATTAACCCAAATACAACAAAAATTCTTTGTTGCAGTTCTTCTCAGAGCTTGTAGTGCGCTAAGGTGCTTGAGTGAATCCTTACAAGGACAAGAGCATGCAGTGTACCGCAAAAGCTGTAATGACTGGGGGAGAGTGGTGGTTTCTCGGAGGCCAGAGTTGTAGCTTATTCCTCTCTAAAATGTCCCTCATTTTAGAATAAGGCCTTCAGGCAGTGTTTGAATGAATAGCTTAAAAGAGACAAAATCCAGTTCAGAGGGAACGGTGGAGGATAAATCCCAGAAATCACTTGTGTTCAGAACAAGTTGTAAAACCCAAGTTTATTGAAGTATACTGTTCCACAAGGCTGGCAGAGGGGGTCCCTTTCCAGTCTCCCCAAGTCGGCGAGCCGAGTTAGAGGGGATTGGTTGGAAGGTCCACTAGGGCAGTAGGAGACGTGGAATGAGAACACATGAGAAATCTGCTGGCAGGTGGGTCTGGGGATTCTTTGTGCAGTGATGTTCACAGCCAGGACTGTGGCTGGCTCCCGTGGCAGTGACAGCCTCTCTCACTCACTCCTCTGGTGGCCTGAATACGCAGGCAGGACTGAGAATTACTGGCCTAGCCTAGTTTTCAGGCATGAATGTGAACCCACACCACCTGGCTGTCCTGTTGGAACTCAGATGCCGTTTCTACCCCAGCATTCTGGTTCAGTAGGTGTGGTGTGGGGCCTGAGAGTTTGTGTTCTGAACCAGTTCCCACATGGTGCTGAGGCTGCTGATCTCGGGACCACACTGGGAACCACGCTGTGATAGAACTGGGGGCTCTGTGATCCCAGGGGGAGGGAGGGGAGCCAGGAGTGGCAGAGACTGGATGCTTTTTAAACAGATGCTTGTTCAACAGAGACAGGGTGAATTCAATTATGCCAAAGCCACAGGGCTGGAGGTAAGCAGAGCTTTTTGACTGGATGGGACCTGTGGGTCCATGTATGTTTGTAGAAAGTCATGGGGTCGCTGGAATCTAAATCAATGGGGTGCTTACTGAGGTGCTGCTTGGCCTATACAGATGGCTTGTGGGAGGTCTTCACGAACCACTGCAGAGGACTGGAGCCTGTGAAGGTGAGTGCAGTGTTAGAAAAGGGATGCGTGGGGTCAGGATGCAGAGCTGTTGGCACAGGCTGTGCTGTAGGAGAAGCTACAGGCAGTTCACACAGGGTGGGTAGGGATCTGTTCCATGGTTCAAGGGGAGAATTAGGAATCTGGAATTCCTGGATTAGGAATTGGCCACGTCTTGAGTTTATTCCAAGGTTTCCACAGCTGGAGTGTTGACAATATAGGGACTAAATAGCACCATTCTATCACTTATTTCTCTGGGAACATTTATTGTGCATCAGCTGTGCTGCAGACTCTGGGTCAGTGTTGGGGATGTAACAGTGAACAAAGCCCAGCTCTTGCCCCAGGGTGCTCTGAGCCAAATGGGAAGACAGATAACAACAAGCAAACAGAAAATAATCACAAACTCCTAGAACTAATAAGTGAATTCGGCAACGTCGCAGGATACAAGATCAACACATAAAAATCAATTCTATATCCTGAAAATGAACATTTGGAAACGGAAATCAAAAACACAGTACCATTAACAATTGTTTCAAAGAAAATGAAATACTTCCAAGTTTAAATCTAACAAGGCAGGTATAGGATCTGTATGCTGAAAATTAGAAATTGCTGATGAAAGAAATCAAAGACAACCTAAATAAATGGAGAGACAAACTGTTCATGGATTGGGAAACTCAACATAGTAAAGATGTCACTTTTCCACAAATTGATCTATGTTAATTCCTACCAAAATCTCAGCAAGGTTTTTTGTACAAATAGGTTTATTCTAATAATTATGTGGGAAAGCCAGTGACCTAGAATAGCTAAAACAATTTTGGAAAAAAAAGGATAAAGTTGGAGGAATCACTCACTAAATGTTAAAGTCTTGCTGTATGACCATAGTAAATCAAGGCAAGTGTGGTATTGGCAAACAGACACACAGATCAATGGTTTGGGATAGAGAACCCAAAAAGAGTCCCACAAATATGTCCAACCGATTTTTGATAAAGGTTCAAAAACACTTATCAAAGAAGGAGGAGGGATATAGCCTTTTGAACAAATGGTGTTGGAGGTATTGGACATCATACATAGTAAGTAAACCTAACATAAACTGCCCACCTTATACAAAAATTGAAACTGGATCATGGACTTAATGTAAAATGTAAAACTATCAAGCTAGGCAAAGAATTCTTGACACCAAAAGTATAATCAATAAAAATACCAATGTATTATTTAATTAAATGAAATCAAAATTGAAAACTAATTAAAAACATTTGCTTTATAAAAAGAAGATGAAAAGACAAGCTATAGAGTGGGGAAAATACTTGCAAACCACCATCTCAGCAAAAGACTTGAGTCTAGAATATGTAAAGAATTCTTAAAACTCAACAATAAAACAAACATTCTAGTTAGAAAATAGGCAAAAGACATGAACAGACATTTCCCCAGAGAGGATATACAGATGGAAAATAATCACATGAAAAGATGTTGAACACAATATCAGGGACATGCATTATTAAAACCATGAGATAGAGGGGTGCAAGATGGCAGCAAGAGTTGGGCAACGGAAATCTCCCAAAACCATATATATTTTTGAAAATACAACAAATACAACTATTCCTAAAAGAGAGACCAGAAGATACAGTACAATAGCCAGACTACATATACATGTGGAACTCAGCATCTCACAAAGGGGGTAAGATACAAAGCCATGACCCAGCAGAACCCGAGCACTCCCTCCACCCCAGCTCACTGGCAGAAGGAGAAGGGTTGGAGTGGAAGCATGGGACTGCTAAATTACCAGCCCTAGTAATCTGCACCGGGAACACAGACACACATTGCATGGTGTACTGGATATTAGAGAAACAGAAAAGTAAAATCCGAGACACAGACGGCGAGTGGATCCCCACAGCCAGCTCCCTTTGGACAAAAGAAAGACGGGTGCTTTTTAAAAGTCTTAAAGGGACAAGGGCTCAACAGCTGAACAAAATCATCCCAGCACACTCAGCCCAACAGGCTGGGAATCTTGAGGAACTTTGGGCCCCTTAGTCCCCTGGGGGGTAAAGCAGCCTCAAAGCCCCTTGCGGCAATAAGCAGCC